GAGGACAAAGGAGCGAGGAAAATGTTTTAAAGAGCATGCGAGAGTTAGACGAATTGTTAATTTTGTTATGATAGTATTGTCCTTTTAGCAGTGGAGACATTAGCAGCGAAGGAATAGAGGAGTGACTGATACACATTAAGGTCAGTAGTATTTTTTGATTTTGGTTGCCTGATTTGTGAGTAGTCGCAGTTAACACCCGCTTGAGATCAAAAGATGCAAGCAGAGTGTGGAAGTATGCAGCCTGAGGTTTATCTAGGTTTATCAATCTTTATCATTACAGACTGGAACATATGCCACGGTTTCAGTCAGGTCCTCCTCTTTTTCTTTTTCTTTCTTTCTTTCTTTCTTTATTTCTTTCTAGTCTTCATGATGATTTTCTGATTATTAATATATGAATTAAAATACAGGCCATGATGAAGCTGCACCACACTTTGTCTCACAGTGATGCCACACATTGCTGGGCCTTGTCTTTTTATAAAATTAATAGAATTTATTTATTTCATAAAAAAGCTTTTTCATACACAGACTCAGATTCAAGACAGTTTTGGTGAAATAAAGTAGAATAAATAGGACATCATGTGTATCATATGTGGTGTTCTTTAGGGAAGTTAGATGGACGTGTGTGTGTGTGTGTGTCCTTGTTTTTCTGTAGGAAAGAGACTCGCTCCATAATCCAGATCATAACATGATCGCTTTGACTTCCCATGTGAAACTGCAGCATGAAGGACAGTAATGAATGTTAGTGTCTCACGAGTAAAACACAGTAGTGTTTGAGTGATGCTTGTCATCCAATGCATGCTAAAACATTTCAAAGCTAAATTAAGGACATTTAAGTAATTTTTGTGCAACAGCTTTCTCTCCCCTTGATGTTTAATGTAAAATCTCTGTCCTAAAGTAAAACCGGTGCATGTCATGCCACAGAAATATAATGGAAGTCTTTGTGTTAGATTAATGTTTCTGTCTGTGTGTATTTGTGTGTAGTATCTTTCTCTCTGTGCGTCTGTGATACGAATAAACAGACACAATATCCTGTGAGGACTGTGCTGGAATACATTGCACAGTATGAATCATTTTACAGTAAATCACAGTAGGGTTATACATCACTATATAGCTATTTCATGTTGGAAATAATAACACTCATTTTGTATGATCTGTTGAATTAATTGCTTTACAAATGAAAAATCTTTCATCCCATTTGATTATTTTCTTGTTTTATTTGGATTGATGGACACTGATGCACTCTTGTCATTTGACTCAATCTGGCCTGTGTTGTGTTGTTTGGGTTTTTTAATGTAAATCTGTAAAACAGGAATTTATAATGAGCTGTTTGTCACACACATGTAAACACATTTAAATATTTCTAAAAGAAGTTTCATTTACTCAGACTGCTGGCTTCATATAAATGAACTCTCTCTGTGTGTGTATGCAGCATGGGTCGGCTCTCTCTCGATGGGCATGATCTTCTTCTGCTCGCCGATCGTCAGTGTGTTCACCGATCTGTTCGGCTGCCGGATTACAGCAGTTGGAGGGGCAGCGGTGGCATTTGTGGGACTTCTGGCCAGTTCCTTTGTCACGTAAGTGCATTATATTCACCTCAGTTTTTAAATAAAGAGTTTTTTTAATTTATTGCTTAGCAGTTAAATTTAAGCTTTTATTACATGTAATTGGAAGTAGATGGTAAGTGACCATCCTTCATTGCTGAGTGTGCTTACTAGTGCTTAGCCAATGGACTATAATAGAGTGATTGCTTTCCAGTTGCACTAACCCATCCGTTTTTATACCCTACTATCCTTCTTGTGTGATTTTATGTTTACTATGAAAAGGGAGCAATGGATTTGTCTGTAAGCAGTGGATGGTGTATTTGATCATCCCCTGGATGATCAATAGAGATCATCCTGAACACCTGACAATAAAATGTTTTTATTCTGATGCATGATTTGAAGGACTGTGCGGATCAGCTCGCTGATGTCTACTCATCATACTCAGTCCTTTGAGACCCAGAGTTCAATTAAATCAATTAAACTGAAACATACAACATTGTACTCTTTTGGTCTGACACTGGGGTCCCACAAGGCTCTGTACTTGGTCCTCTTCTCTTCTCTTCTCTTCTCTTCTCTTCTCTTCTCTTCTCTTCTCTTCTCTTCTCCACACACATGATCTTATGTTATATTAGTCTGTGTCAAGGCAAAGAGGGAAGACATATGTTTCTGAGGCTTTCGACAATTAAAGTCAGTAAAGATATTAAAAAGTAAGCTGATTACTTAACGCACTTCGGTTGTAACATATTATCCCTAACAGTGCATATGCCTGTATGAGACAATCAGCAACATATTTATTACTTAAATACTCTGCACTAAATACATGTTGCAATATGCTGCTGAGCTGGAGCGCATAACAAGCTCCATATGGAGTTTAGCCGAACACAAAACAATCATTTCATTTTTACGCCACTAGCATGAGCAGAACTGAACTGAAAAAAATCTCTTTTTCCATCTGGCATTGGTCAGAGAACCAGATGAATGTTTTGAAAGTGTCACAGAGTTGCAATGGTTCACTCCTTTAGAGAATCAACCTATTAATTACTTACTTACAGTGAACATTAAGCTGAGAGATGGTGAAGAATTCTGAGAGCACAAACATTCACTGGGGAAATTTCACAATTGTGCTTTGAATTACATTAATAGTAGCATTACAGTAATAGTAGCATTGATTTAAAATGTGCCTTCGCTAATGCGGTCTGATCGTCATTCTCTGCAGGTCTCTCGGGCCGTTGTACTTCACCTACGGCATAGTCTTCGCCTGTGGCTGCAGCTTTGCATATCAGCCGAGTCTGGTGATCCTAGGTCACTATTTCAAGCGGAGGCTGGGCCTGGTGAACGGCATCGTGACGGCGGGCAGCAGCGTGTTCACCATCACGCTCCCGTACATGCTGTCCGGCCTGCTGAAGCGCGTGGGACTCGCCTACACGCTACGTGTGCTGAGTGTCTTCATGTTCATGCTCATGCTGGCGGGATTTACCTATAAACCCCTGCTGCCCAAACCCGTCAGCAGCAGCAAGTCGGGCAGCCGCTGTCCTTCGCTCAGGAGGGTGTTTAACGTGCACATCTGGAGGTCTCTGGGATACCGCATATGGGCCTTTGGGATCCCTGCGGCCCTGTATGGATACTTCGTGCCTTACGTTCATCTGGTGAGTGTGCTGAGTTTCTCTGTTCTGCCTTAGACTTCACTACGTTTCAGGAACGTCCTCAAAGAAATATTACAGATAGTTCACCCAAATGTGAGCACTCTTACCATCTCTCATGCTGTTCCAAACCTGTATGCCTTCAAGGAATAATTAGTAATGTAAATTAGCTGATAATGTGCTCACCCTCAGGCCATCCATGATGTAGATGAGTTTGTTTCTTCATCAGATTTGGAGAAATGTGTCATTGCATCACTCTCTCAGCAATGGATGCTCTGCAGTGAATGGGTGCCGTCAGAATGAGAGTCCAGACAGCTGATAAAAACATCACAATAATCCACAAGTAATCCACACCACTCCCGTCCATAGTTAATGTCTTCAGAAGACAAAAGCTGAAACAAATCCATCATTAAGGTGTTTTTAACTTCAAACTGTAGCTTCCAGCTAAAATATGAGTCAATCTATAACAGCACTTCCTCCTGTGAAACTATATCTTTATGGTTAGATTACACTACACAACTTTTATATAGCTTTTTGCTCTGATTTACAGTCTGGAAGAGCTGATGATAGTTAGCAAAAGTCAAAGTCAGTTTGTTTTATTTGACATATTTCACAGAAAGTGATTCTGTCCAGTCGTCAAAGATCAGGCATGTTTGCGATTTTTGAGATGTTCAGATTTTAGCCTTTATTTTCTTCTGCAGAGCACAAAAGGAGATATTGTGAGTAAAATACTCAAGATTGCACTGACAGGGACTGGAGCTTGCAAGCGTCTTTAGAGAGCATCATAGCAGCAGTTCACATGAATGTATTTTCAAGGTAAATGATGATTTGTGTGAGGAACAGACAAACATCTACGTGTGTTTTGTCTAATGAAGGTTGAGGTTGATTGGGAATGATCCAAGCCTTGCTAAGATGGCCCACGAGAGCCACGTCAGCAGAGTATCTGTGCAGTTCCTTCATCTGTACGCTGGACTCCCGCGTGGAGGGATGTTGATGCTGTGAGGTTTACCAAAATAAAAGGTCAATTTGATCTGAGGAGCGCGGGGTGTAGCTGCAGACTGTGCTCTACACAAACATCGGCTCTGTTATTGTAGTATCTCCAGACATGTTTTGCGCAGGTTAAGTTGCCCCGCAGAGGGTGGATGATGGGCAGCACTGAAAGGGAAAGAGGTTGTTTATCTGTGGAGAGCAGCTCTCTCGTCCGGAATCCTCTGGATGTTTTCCTGCAGCTCTTTCTCGGTCGAGGAGGTTAGCAGTGGACAAACACACATCTCAGCATAGCTTTGTCATCTGCCAGAGGCTGAAGAGCTCACTTGAACTGTTCAAGTCAAAACAAAAGCATGTTCCTCAGGGTTAGAGGGCACATGGCCTCGCAGGGTTTGGATGTTGTTGTGAAGTCCTCACAGCGATCTCCACTGACTTCAGATCAACAGCAGGTTTAACACCCAGAAGTGTTTTCTTCATGTATTTTATGTTGACATTGTCTCTAGTAGTCGTGGCTGTTAGCATGCAAGCTCTGATATATTAGTCTGAGGTGCTCGTGTGTGGTTGACTAAAGCTCAAATCTGGCACACGTCTTTTCCTGATCATTTTTATAGGATAGCAGAAAGGACAAGAAATGTTGGTGGAATCTTTCAACCACAAGGTATTTTGGTCGCTTTCTGTTCCTTTGTGTAAAAGAAGCACACTTTAGCTAACTTTAAAAAAAGAGCACTTATTATGGAAATAATATATTTGAAAAAGATCACTGAATGTGATGTTTTCAGACACCTAATTGCATGTTATTTACATTCAGTCTGACTAGGGCTGTCAAAATGACTGAAAAACTAAATTCGAATTTTCCACTTAAATATTATCAAAATTCGAATTATATTCGAATTTAAAAGGCATCATTTCAGTTAGGGGGAAAAAAGCTTTTGGCTTCTCTCCTGAGGCCACAAGAGGGCCCATCGAGCAAAATATTATGCACGTTTCTTCAAAGCTTAATAAAATAACACGACTATCTTTGAAAAAAAGTGCATAATGTTTAAAATAATGTTTATAAACCATATATAATTAATAAAATGAAAAACCGCCATAAAGTCTTGAGACATTTTTTTTAAAAGTTGAACTTACATTATTTTACATGGCTTTCTAAACATGCCGCTCTCTTGTGCGAGACGCGAGTGCAACGCTGATAGATGTCCCTCTAGAAAATGTGATAAATATGTGTTCTGTGTGAATGGCTTGGTTTCAGTTTCGCTGTAAACAACATATTCGCCACACCGATGTTCTCGTTTTCTGCTATATGTTGAATGAACAACGTAGCAGCGCCGCATCTAGTGGGTTAAACTGGATAGGCTAACAAAAGCATTAAAATGCAATGACACTTACATTGTCGTAGCATTTCGTGCGCCACTGATAAGGATGCCTGACGGCTGACGTAGACCTAAAATTCGAATGCAACGTTTTTGCATTCTAATGTGATTTTTTTTTTTTTCAATTCGACGAATATTCGAAATTCAAATTTTTTTTTGACAGCCCTAAGTCTGACTTTTGTTTTCATCATAGTACTGAGACTGCCCTTGACTTATTGGTAGCAGCTGACTCACGACTTGTATCTATATGAATTATTCTTGATTTAACAGCAACGTTCAATACTATTTCACATAAATTCTTATTAGATAGATTGCAATCTTAGGAATTGTTGGTCCTTCATTCCTCAAATCTCTCAGGTCATACTCAGATCAAAACTGGCTAAGTTTTACAAACAAAGCCATCTAATCATGACTGGTGTCCCACAGGGTTCGGTTCTGGGCCCTTTGTTATTTATCATTTACCTACTCGTGCTTGGAAGCATTTTCAGAAAATTTGGCATTGACATTCGTAGGCAGACAAACAGAGACGAGCCCCTCTGTCAATAATCCTTTGCAGTAGTTTCACTCGTCCTGCAGCTCACCACATTTCATCACTTCCACTTTCTAAGCCATTTTGTTGGGACATGTTATATAGTCTATGTAGATGAATTTTGTTGGGACGCGTTATGTATTCTTTGTTGGTGAATAGCGAGTAGTGAGAGAGCGTACGTGTAGCTGACTGTTCTCTGGAGGAAACCTCTGGTCTCGTGATCTGTTCGCACACAGACAGATGCTGACAGCATCATGATGTTGTGTTTCTGAAGCTGCTGAGGTCAGCAGTCATGCGCTGAAGCATCAAGAAATGCAGATGAGCACTTTTAGCAGTCAGAGTCCATTCTTTATTCATTTATGATCTTGATCCAGCAGATAAAGGCCAGTGGTTCACCTGCAGTCACCTATGAACCATCATCATCAGCACAGTTTATCAAAAAACTTTTTGAACTCGTTTCACATCTCGTCTGTGACAGACAGACTCTCATAACTGAGCTTTACTAAGCCATTGAAGGGTTTTTGATCCATAACAAATTGCTTAAAAAAAAACACAGCCACAAAGGAGGATGTTCATAAGTATAAGCAGCTGCAAGACTTGCTCAAAACTCTATCACGCCTCCACTTTTTCAGCTCATGGCTAATATAATCAACACACACTATTGCCCAAAGTAAAGATATAGAGTCAATTTAATGGACTCTTGTAAACGCAGTCAGTCTATTCAGAATGAAAGCATCCCAAATTGCATGTGAAAACTGAATGAAATGTATTAAAATGTAAACAATATTATTTACACACTAACTCCAGCACAATCTGTGTATTTTAAATGCTCAAGACAAATACCACAGCCGTTGCTGTTTTTCAGTTTGAGTATTTCTCAAGCCCGCTTACATGTGCTGTCAGGGAAAACATACAGCCTTCAGGACATGAGCGCAAAATTACATTTACACTCATTTGACATTGATAATTAATGTGGTGGTGAAGCCATTGGAATGGGTTGGATTTCTGCATTAATTGGTTATAAAGTGTTCATTAAAGTCATAAGTATAGACTAAATGTGTGTAAGCTAGTTACACGCAAACAATTATAATATTTCATGGACAACAAGTGACTCATGAACGACTCATGAAACTCAACACAAAAGAAAATCCGTTGTGGATCATCCTGGTAACAACAACAAGGTAAAGTTTATTTACTTTTTCCTCAATAAAGACATGAAAGATTATAATTGTGTGTGTCATTAGCTTAAGCACATTGTGCTTGTCTATACTTGTGACGTTGATGAAAATCAGATGACATTTTATGACCAATTAATGTGAAAAACCAACCAATTCCTATGGGTTCACCTGCTCTCTCTTAAACCGTCATCTGTGTTAGCCAGCAGGATGACATGACCAGCACAATGCATTCAAAACGTTTAATTCCTACAGTAAAATAAGGACGACAGAGTCAGCGAGAGAGAGTTTCAGACCCTTTCATGTGTTTAAATGCCTTAAACATGTACTTTTCTGTGATCAAATCTACGTTTAAGGCGTACCGGCAGGGATTGTAGGTGGGGGGAGTGAATGTACAGCACTCTCTTCCACCTTCAATACCACGACTGAGGTGCCCTTGAGCAAGGCACCGAACCCCCAACTGCTCCCCGGGCGCCTCGGCAACAAAAAAAAATGGCTGCCCACTGCTCCGGGTGTGTGTGTGTGTGTGTGTTCACTGCTGTGTGTCTGCACTTTGGATGGGATAAATGCAGAGCACTAATTCTGAGTATGGGTCACCATACTTGGCCACATGTCACGTCACTTCACTCACTCACTTAAAGACTCATGCATGGGTTATTTTGTTGCAGGAGTTGATAGTGTATTGTCTGTAAGCTCCTCATGTGTCCAGCACAGGTCAAGAATGAACTCAATCGGGTTGAGCATTGCTGATGATGTTCAGACTGCCAGGCATTATGTTCTTCTTCATTTTTTACACAGTGAAACTCTGTGTGTGTGATGTGGGCCTCAGATTGGTGTGTTTTGGGAGGAGGAACCCGAACGCCCAGGATCCCGTCTACATCTGCTCCTGTGTTTTTTATGGTTCACGTCCTCTTCTGTACTAATTGCACACCTCCGGATCTGCTCTGCTCACGTGTTTCTCTCTGAAGGAGTGTGTGTGTGTGTGTGTGTGTGTGTGTGCACGCTGGCAGGCAGTAAGTATGAATAATGAGCATTCATGACAAATGGCTGGGTGGTGTGTCGCTCTTACACACACACACACACACACACACTCACATAGTGCTGTGCAGGAAGTGGGTTAAGGTGTCTGTTTGGAGTGCTGTAACAGAACAGTCCCTAAAACAGGCCCCTTTTCCTGCCTGTTTTCTCCGGGTGAATTCCTGTGTGTCCCACACACACACACACACACACCAGCAGCAATTGCTTGAGAAACACGGGAGTCTTCATTCTAAATGCACCAATGGTGTTTTTTACAAACAATATCTGTATGATTCTTCAGGCAGGTCTGAAGACCTGAGAGTTTCTTAATAATTAATAATAATTTAATAATTTATAATTAATTAATTTGAATAATTGATGCATTTAGCAGACACTTTCATCCAAAGCAACTTACAGTGCATTCAGGTTATACATCTTTTACCAGTAAGTGTGTTCCCTGGGAATTGAACCCACGACCTTTTGCGCTGCTAACGCAATGCTCTACCACTGCGCCACAGGAACACTGGTTTCAAAGAAACCCAGCTTGTGTCTGACGTGACATGACGTGTTTTGTGTTCGGCTAAACTCCATATGGAGCTTGTTATGCTCTCCAGCTCAGCAGCATACTGCAACATGTATTTAGTGTTTCAAGAAACACAGTTTCTTCTGCTCCGTCTGATAAACATGATCACGTGGTAAAAAGACCAGGGCTATGAACGTTTCATATTACCACAAATACTTTCTGGTAAAATAAGTTTCTTTCAGCTGCTGAACACAAAAGAAGATATTTTTAAGAACAGTTGTTGCTCCCCATTGACTTCCCTAGTATTTTATTTCCATAATATGGAAGTCAATGGGGACCAACAACTATTTGGTTACTCCCATTCTTCAAAATATCGTCTCATATCTAAACATCTAAAACAGTCTGCATCGGTAAAGACCATGTGCTCCTGTCACTTCAGACACAAGCAAAACTCTTTCTGGAAAATGTAACCACAAAATGATTTACATGATAGTAATGACAGTACTGAGGACAGTGGTTATTCTTTATGAAAATAAATATAAATAAATAAATATATTAATATACACACACAAATATATAAATATATATAATATAAATAAATTTACAGTTTTTCTCGATTGCTTAAACACATTTCTTGAAATTGTGACTCCTTTCCTCGAAACTCTAAACACAAATCCATAACTTCTCACCCAATTCCCCATACTTCCTATTTTCAGGCTCTCCACTCAAAACTATTCAATCTTGCTGAAAAAAACAAACTTCACCCTCAGACATGACACACAAGCCCTCAGAAACACACACACCACAACACAGTCGTACACACTAATGAGATCAGTTCAGAACACTGTTGTAAAAACCTTCTTTTGACAATCAGGTATCAATGTCTATTACAGTATACAACATAATTAGAGCAGATACATGTTACAGTAAATATAGCAGATACAGTGAAATTCAACAATAAGCTTTACAGTAAGAAAATATTATTTTCATTACACTGCTGTAAAGAGATCTCACAGTACAGTAGATGAAAAGCACTAGAAAGGAAAAGCTCAAACACCAAAGAATTGCATATGAACGCAACAGAATATAGAGTCATCTCTTAGTTCTGCAAAAATACAGTACATGTAAGAACTACTGTACTTGGCTACAAATCAGTTCAGCAGTTATGAGTTTGAGGGTACAACTTGTGCGTCAGTATTTACAGTACTGTACATATATATAAAAAGTAAAAGTTCTCTCATCTGAAGTACTGCTACAGTTCTGTCGTTATATTTGATCTGTAAGTAGTATTGAAAGCCTGTAGATGAGCCTGTTGGCAGCTGTCCTCATGCACAAGAACATGATCAACTACAGCACTGTGTATTTCATCAGGAATAAATGTCCTTTGACCCCGTCCCCTTCAGTTTTTCAGATTCATTTTCACATAATCAGCTGTGCTCTTGTTCATATCATCCTGAGATTCTGACTTCTGTGTCATCAGTTTTGCTACTGAATGTTCACACATGGATAAATGTGTGCTGTTTGTGTTTATATTGTGATTCTTGAAGTAGTTATATTGTGAGTTTGTTTTCTAAATGAGAACATGGTTAAACCTGTGCAAAATGATGCCGTTCTTGTGTAGAGTTTAGCTGAAAACACTGAGCAAATTGGAGCGTGTGTGAAAACAGGTGAAATGTGTTAAAAGTTTTGAGAAACAAGTCATTTTGGTTATTTGAATGTTTGAAAGTGCATTTTTCAATAGCAAAATTGATACAAACTGTTGAGTTAATGTTGTGTGTGTGTGTGTGTGTGCGCGTGTGTGAGTGTCAGAGTGTGTGTGCGTGTGTGTGTGTTTGAGTGAGAGAGTGTGTGTGAGAGTGTGTGTGTGAGAGAGAGAGAGTGTGTGTGTGTGTGTGTGAGAGAGAGAGAGAGAGTGTGTGTGTGTGTGTGTGTGTGTGTGAGTTCAGTCTCTCTTTGAGATCAGTGATGTCTCGTGGTCCGTCTGCGCTTTCACATACAGACATCTGAGGAGAAAAGTCTGTAGGAAACCTAATGGCTGAATGAATGATGTTTAATTCAGTGATGTTTTAATGCAGGTGTTTTGAGGCTGTCATCACTGATCATTGTGTGTCTCTCAGATGAAGCATGTGGAGGAGCGCTTCGGTGCGGACGCTAATAAAGAGGTTCTGCTCACCTGTATCGGCATCACGTCTGGAGTGGGCCGTCTGATCTTCGGGAGAGCGGCTGACTACGTCCCTGGAGTCAACAAAGTGTTCCTGCAGGTGACACACTGATCTGAGAGCCGTCCGGAACTGGTCTCTCTCTCTCTCTCACACACACACTCTCACTCACACACTCACACACTCACACTTGTATTTGTGGTTTACGGGGACTCTCCATAGGCGTAATGGTTTTTATACTGTACAAACTGTATTTTCTATTGCCCTACACCAACCCTACCCCTAAACCTACCCCTTACAGGAAACTGCTGGCATAAACCATATATACCTGTACACTCATACACACCCACACACCCACACCCACACACACACACACACACACACACTCTCTGTGTGTGTCTCTCTGCAGGTGTCCTCGTTCCTGGTGATCGGGCTGATGTCGATGATGATTCCTCTGTGTCATGTGTTCGGTGGACTCATTGCCGTGTGTCTGCTCATGGGTCTGTTCGACGGATGCTTCATCTGCATCATGGCTCCCATCGCGTTCGAGCTGGTGGGCTCCCAGAACGTGTCGCAGGCCATCGGCTTCCTCCTGGGCATGATGTCCGTCCCCATGACCGTCGGGCCTCCCATCGCAGGTAATGCCACCCGCTGACAGAAGCTGGTACTGCATCACTGAGCCCTCAGACGTTCACACGCATGCATTCAAAAGAGGCCAGCCACACAATAACATTACAAACGATCAACACGTCTCGTGAGACTTACAAACTCACACACACTTCCTGATCCATTGCCATGTGGATTCTGTGTAAATCTGAATGACTGAGAAACTCACAGACACATTCTTCACTGTGAAAGCTTTGGTAATAATGTTAATTGTTTAACTTACTAAAAAATACATTTATGATACATTTCACAGTAAAATCTGTAAACTGACATTCCCAGAATCCTCATTATGTTTGATGGTTTTTCATAGAATTTGCTTTTTTTTCTTAGTTTTTGTCATCAGTTTTGTACATTAGGTTTTTATGTTACATTTCATGTTGTTAAATTAATTATTGCATTATTTTAGTTTAGTTCATCATTTGTTTGAACCATATTTGTGACGAGCTTTGATTCGTCACGTGTCATTCTCTTTATCAACTGTTTTAAGGTGGTTGTCGGTATATTGTAAACATGGGCGACATTTGACTCGTGAGTCGGGGGGGGCAAGAAAAAAAAAATGTAGTTACATATATATATGAAATAAATAAAAATAAAAGATTTTTAAAATTCTGAATGGATTATACCCTAGAACAGTGGTTCTCAAACTTTTTACAGCGGCATACCCCCTGCTGCATTTAACATCTTCTGCGTACCCCCCTCCATTGATACAAAAATACACACATTACCATGCAAAGCAACCGTACAGCACTTAGCAGTGGTCAAAAAATATTTCCAAAACGAGTTTTGGATTAATTCCTGCTTTTAAACTCTTACTTTTAAATTACCACACGACCCTGGTGTTTGTCCAAAAACAGTATAATTTGGCTGGGAATTTTGTGGATGGAGGGAGGAAAAAACCCTGACATTTCAGATTAGGGTGGAAATAAAATAACTGACTAACCCCCTTTAAAATATGGAATTATTTTAAGTCCTCATGTCAAATAACTACTAACTAGGGCTGTCAAAAATTTTTTTTCGAATTTCGAATATTCGTCGAATTTAAAATAAAAATCCACATTCGAATGCAAAAACGTTGCATTCGAATTTTAGGTGTGAGTCAGGCAGCCTTATCAGTGGTGCACGAAATGCGACGATGATGTAAGTGTCATTGCATTTTAATGCTTTTGTTAGCCTATCCAGTTGAACCCATTAGTTGCGGCCCTGCTACATTGTTCATTCAAAATATTGCTGAAAAAGAGAACATCAATGCTGAGATGATGTTGTTTACGTCAAAACTGAAACCAAACCGTTCACACAGAACGCATATTTATCAAATTTTCTAGAGCAGTGGTTCTCAAACTTTTTACAGTGGTGTACCCCCTGGGGCATTTAACATTCTTCTGCGTACCACCTCTCTTCCACTGAGACCGCAGTCACACCTTTTCTATTAAAGGACAATATTTGCCCCTTTAAATTGATTTACAGGTGCATTTTTTTACCTTTATAGAGGCAAATATTTTCTATCTTTATTAAGCCTATGTCATGTTTTATGTCATATTCTTAACATTCCATTAAGTGTATTATTAATATTATAAATACAGCAATATTTTTTTAATAAAGCAATAAATGATGGCAAATCGAAGTGATACTTGTAGATTTAAAAAAACCGCCAGAAGGTGGCGGCAAGTCACTGTCTTAATGAGCCAGGCGTCGCGTCATTCATTCATTCATTCAGTAAAGAAGCAAAATGCTGTAGTTATGAATGGGTTATTAATCACTGACTCTCTGATTCGTTCAAAGCCGCAGATTCGTTCACTAACGAAACACCGCTGTATGATGCTTGGAGACATGAAACAATAACACACACAGTGTGTCTGTATCGAAGAGAGTTTAAATCGATCTCAGTATATTGCTCTTCATGCTATTAAGTGAAGATCTACTTTAAAGATACAGTGAACAGCAGCGCGATTTGCTAAAGCAGCATATTCAGCGGGCATCCTATCATACGCACGCTGCTTGTGTGGATGCAGTCAGGTTTGACCGCAAAAGATGAGGTAAGCTGATTGGATATCATGTATTTGACCGTTTACTGCACTCCCAGTTTCCTGTTTTTACATTAGAAGCGGCATTTTGCTTGTCAGAAATACGCTCGGTTTTAATGTTGCTTTAAGTTGGGGTATTAAATGAATGCCAAAACTCAGAATTTTGTTCACATACCCCCCACCGTCATCTCACATACCCCCAGTTTGAGAACCACTGGTTTAGAAAATGGTAATAAAATATGACAAGAACTCAAGAGTTGAACTGTGTCAGAACAAATTCATCTTGATAATGTCAGATAACTTTGATAGAAAGGTATGTAATGAATTCGGTT